CATCTTACCTCTAGATGCAGTAGAATGAAAGAAGTTTGAATTAGTAAGTAAATTGAATATATCATATGCAAGGCTTGAGCATAGCCAAATTAGAGAGCAACATGACTATAATGTAAAAAAGACTGATATACTCCATGCAAACATACACAGATAATGACTTTGAACCAGTGTTCGACTTATTCCGAAGGCACATTCTTAGTAACTGCCGGTATTTTTTTGTATTTTTTATATTATTTTCATAAATTCGAGTTAGTTTGTTTACATATTCCACCAAAAAAACAAGAACTTCAAATATTTAGAAACAGATGGAAAAAACAATACATGTATTTTCGTTATCTGACTGTTTTAATCATGTATTTCCTTTTTGATTAAGAGAGGAATCTCACAATGGATTATCAACTTTCAGCACGTCTTACAAGAAAAATTGTGAATACAAGAATGTCTTTTACCTTTCTGCAAACTAATGGATGCTATCTGGACAGGAATGGAGAATGTAGAGTTCTGTCTGCATTGACTTTGTAGATAATAAATGGGAAGATCCGAAAAGAAAGAAGGTTCAAAAAAATTGGAGTATTCTGGCTTTGTTGCTGATCCCTATATCATTTTGACGGTGGCATCAGCATCCAAGTTAACAAGGGAAGAAACCAGTAAGATGATATTTCACAAAAGAGTGACAATCAAAATGAATTTAATTTTGAACTTTAAAAATTGTCAATGACGAAAGATATTAACTCACCAGGACGTTTAATGCCAAGCTACCCATAATATCTGAGATATTTATTGTCAATGTACTTGGGAGCATATTCTCATACAAAACTGTAAAAGGAGAAACGCCGGGTTAAGACATCTAAAGAAGTAAACCCCCCAACAATGCCATAAATTGAGGTTCAGGAAAAGAACTTGATACATCGAATAAACTACAACTATAATTTCAGGCAAGTTGCTTATTTACTAAGAAAAATAAGAGAATCAATTTAATCTAAGGGGATATGTACATACTTTCTCCAAAAGACTTATTATTGCCAGTGAAGAAGATAGTGATAGGACATGAGCCATTCCTCCTGCAGGACTTGTCTGGTAAATCCGAAAACGGAAAAAAATCCGATTTCACAGCCCGACATTGTGGAACAGGCACTTGCAACAAAGGAGGCCATTCTGGAGGATTGGGAATAGAACAAGTGCCAACTTGAGCCAAATCTGAATATTGAATTCCACACTCCTTCTCAAGGCACTTATCCCCTTGTGTCTTGGTACAAATACATCCACACTTGTTTTCAGCCTTATCCAATAATTGCTTTTCAATCAACTTTTGGAGGAGAAGCAGTAACAAACACAGTACAAAGGGGAACAATATGAGCCGAACATTGGTCTTTACATTTCGTCTCTGCAAATAAGATGGATTTAGTTTTGGATAGGATATAATTGTGAGTCCTGCATTTTCATATTGTTTCACTATACATATGATATATGGTGAATAATTAGTTAAAAAAACACAGCTTTGGGAACGAGGCTCCAACATAGTGGGATGTATGTACATAATCTTGAGATATGGTGAATAATTAGTTGATAGTATAAAAATCCTAATATTGATTATGATTATTGTTGGGATTGGAACCAGAGATTGAGGGGAAGATCGTGGAGGAGTGACCGGTAAGTGTGTAGTAGTCACACTTGAGGGGAAAATTGTTAGATATATTCAGGTGTGAAATCTCTTGATGGAATAAGTAAAAGAGTTTATAAGTAGAAAAGAGTCATGAAACCATAGCAGGTTTTCGTTTAAGGTATGGTGTCTATTGCTCTTCACTATTCCCATGAATTGGCAACAATGGGACACCCACCCTTGTGGTTGGACGCAGGTCCTAAAAGATATATTAACCTCAATTCGGAGAAGGATAGGGAATTAAATAAAGGCTTTGGTCATGTACCATATCTATGATCCATCATAGACTTACACCAAACCCAAGTAAACATTTTCCTATTGATTATATATAAAAAATTAACTATTTTCTAAGTCTAATGAAGCATGAGAACCATGAAACGTGTTTATTGAAAAGAAGTTAGAGAGGAAGATAGAGAGTGCATGGTGAAGGTTACCTGGTAAGTTAAATTCTTCCTAAGTAGAGCGTTTGCTTGAGTCCAGAAGGTGTGTTCATTGGGTGAATTTTTCATGTTCTCTTTCTCCCCTTTGAACACTTTGGATTAGGTGATTAACTACGCCAACACAACATAAAACAACCTTAAATTATATACTTGTCGCTGACCAAATCAACTCGTGTTATTTTAGAGAAGCTAAATGGATCTTTGCGTGACTGTGAAATGTGAATACGCTTTGAGATTCTTTTCCGCCGATCTAAAAAAACAAAAAAATACTTAGGAATAACACTTATATCCTTATATCTATTACGATGAGATAATAATTTTACCCTTTAAAAAACATCGCTGGATTATGCACTAATGAAACACAAAGTTCCCATTATATTGATGTTGATATTCGGTTGATTATGGAGGGATATATGAATCAACCGAATATCTCATCATAATAGATATAAGGAGATCTATGAATCAATTGTGGTTTATTTCGGCACAAAAACAAATTCTTAATTGCATGAAGACAAACTTTTTCTGAAAAACAGGTTACGATATTCCTACGAACTTAGGACATTGGATGAGGGACATGCACCTCTGGAAGACATGTTGTTATAAACTTTTATTCATGAATTAGGATTTGGAGGCAATAAATATCACATATGAAAATTGAATACATCATTATTAGCGTATGACATATCTTATGATGAATCCTATATAATCATTAGTTATATTATAATACAATGTATTATGATTCTCATTTCTTATCACAATTCTTTATGAAGATTTTTCAATACGGGTCACACTTATAAATATAATAGTTTTAAACTTTTTAAAATAGCCTTAGTGATATTTTTATCACATTATAATATAATAGTTTTAAAGTTTTTAAAATAGTGATATTTTTATCACACTATGCTGATGAGTTTTTATGACATTTCTAAACAAATTCTCAGTTTAAACCAAGCGGTAGACACAGGCTAAGCAATGATAACACTCGTGTGTTTTTAAACTATTTTTTTTGGAAAATTTGTATTAAGTTTAATAGGATTTGTAGATTTTGTTCTTCCTTTAATATAGTGTCCAATGTCATTGTAAGAATAATATATTTTTTAATGTATAACATTTACTGTATAATAAGATTTTAAGAGATATTATTATTTAGTATTTAATGAGATTTCAAGAAATATATTAATTATTATATTGTAAGAGATTTTTTATTGGGTTGTAATTTTTATAATTCCGCAATATGCATAGTTTATTATGATAAATTAGGGTGTTACATTTTCATATTAGAGCAGTTTGATTCATTTCAACTTGTAATATGAGTCAATTATGTTTAAACTAAGTATTCAGAGATTAGAGATTAGATAGAGTATTGTTGGGGTTTTGGGCTCCCTTCCTATGTGGAGAAAAGCCCATAAGAGCAAACCTATTGGTGTCACTTAGGACATGTGGAAAGTCAGAGTTTTGAGGCAAGAGAGAAGCAAAAGAAAGGCAAGGGAAAAAGTGAGAGAAGAGAAGAGAAACAATTTTTCGACATACACATAGCTGCTGCACTAAATCGGCCGTCACGACTTTGTTCACCGTCCGATCGGGCTCAAATTTGGACTGCGTGTTCGTGACATCTGGTTCTTCAATCTGAACGGTGCGATTGGCGAAACGTTGTCCGAGGTGTCATAAATCGGCGTTTTACAGTAGCTGCGAATTTGGGATTTCTAGTTTTTCATTATTCTCATTTTCAAGTTTATTGCTCTATTGCTTTGTACAATTGTTGAGCACGGTTTGTGCTACATTTTGAGACTCTCTTGTACCTGATTTGATTATAGTGAACCTCTATTACTGGCTTGTGCCCGTGGTTGTTTACTTCTCACATTGAGAAGGTTTTTCCACGTTAAAATTGTGTGTCTCTCTTTGTGTTTGTGATTTTGAGTTGCTGCCATATTTGTTGATTGCTCCTCACGGATTCTCGTAAGTAGGGGAAATTATTATCCGCTGCATATTGTTCTGTTATATATATTGTGTTGAATTTCCCATCAGAGTGGCATCAGAGCTCTTTGGTTAAGGGGTTGTTTCACTTGCTTGAATGATGGAGGCAAATACAAATAGGATGATTTGTTTAAATGACACTAATTATCACTTGTGGAAGGGAAAGATGAAGGATCTGTTATTTGTGAAGAAATTGCATCGTCCTGTGTTTGCTACTGAGAAGCCAGAATCCATGACTGAAGAGGAATGGAGTTTTGAGCATCAGCAGGTTTGTGGTTTTATTCGGCAATATGTTGAAGATAATGTTTATAATCACATTGCAAACGAAGAACATGCGAGATCCTTGTGGAATAAGATTGAATCTTTGTATGCTTCTAAATCGGGGAATAATAAATTGTATTTGTTGAATTCCTTGATGAATTTGAGGTACAAGGAGGGGACTTCTATTTCAGATCACTTGAATGAGTTTCAAGGGCTCCGGGATCAATTGTCGGGAATGAGCATCAAGTTTGATGATGAAGTGTTGAGACTATGGCTACTGAATACTCTACCAGATTCTTGGGAAACTTTTCGGGTTTCAATTACTAATTCATCCTCTGATGGTGTTGTCTCTTTTGAAAATGTAAAGAGTTGTGTTCTTAATGAGGAGATGAGAAGGAAGGCACATGATACTTCATCTCATTCTGAGGTACTTGTCACTGAAAACAGGGGGAGAAGTCAGAGAAATGAAACGAAATGGAGTCGAGAGAATAGCAGAAATGGGAGTAGAGAGAGCAACAGAAGTAAGTCTAAGTCCAGATACAAGAATGTGGAGTGCAATTATTGTCATAAAATAGGGCACATAAAGAAGAACTGTTTCACATGGAAAAGGGAGAACAAAAACAAGAATAGCAAGCAGGGAGATAAGAATCATGATAATGATGATCGTGTTACTACTGCTACTCATGATGATCTTGTTATTCTCCGTGACCATGATTCAGTCAATCTTGTATCAGATGAGAGCATGTGGATAATTGACAGTGGTGCTACGCTGCATGTTACACCGAGGAAGGAGTTCTTCACATCTTACACTTCTGGTGATTTTGGAGTGTTGAAGATGGGTAATGATGGTGTATCTAAGGTAGTTGGTATTGGTGATGTTTGTTTGCAGACCAACATGGGAGTGCAGTTATTGCTTAGAGGAATCAAACATGCTCCAGATGTTCGCTTTAATTTGATATCTGTGCAGATGCTTGATGATGGTGGTTATGATAATCACTTTGGTTCAGGGAAATGGAAACTCACCAGAGGTAACTTGGTTGTGGCTAGAGGGGAGAAAATCAATAAACTGTATTGGACAAAAGCTTTGGTTGCTAGAGACAGTGTGAACGCTATGCATATGGAGGCTTCTTTGTGGCACCGAAGGCTTAGTCATATTAGTGAAAAAGGGCTGAATTGTTTAGCTAAAAAGGATGTGCTTACGGGATTCAAGAATGGAGAGTTGGAGAAATGTTCTCATTGTATGGCTGGTAAGCAGACTAGAGTATCCTTCAAGAAGCATCCTCCCTCAAGAAAGTCAGAGCTGCTTGAATTGGTGCATTCTGATGTTTGTGGCCCGGTGAAAGTGAAGTCCTTTAGTGGTGCACTTTACTTTGTTACTTTCATTGATGATTGTTCCAGAAAACTTTGGGTTTATGTTTTGAAGACAAAGGACCAGGTGCTGGAAAAATTCAAAGAATTCCATGTTTTGGTTGAGAGACAGTCAGGCAAGAAGCTGAAGTGCATTCGTACTGATAATGGTGGTGAGTATTGTGGACCGTTTGATGTTTATTGCATGCAGCAGGGTATCAGACATGAAAAGACTCCTCCTAAAACTCCTCAGCTGAATGGTTTAGCAGAGAGGATGAACAGGACTTTGATTGAAAGAGTTAGGTGTATGCTTTCTGAAGCAAAATTGCCTAAGCATTTCTGGGGTGAGGCATTGTACACGGCAGTGCATGTTATTAATCTCAGTCCTGCAGTTGCTTTGAATGCAGAGGTGCTAGACAAGATTTGGTTTGACAAAAATGTCAAGTATGATCATTTGCGAGTCTTCGGTTGTAAGGCATATGTGCATGTTCCAAAGGATGAAAGGTCCAAGTTGGATTCGAAGACAAGGCAGTGTATCTTTATCGGTTATGGTCAAGATGAATTTGGTTACAAACTGTATGATCCTATTGAGAAGAAGACAGTTAGAAGTCGTGATGTGAAATTCATAGAAGACCAAACCATTGAAGACATTGATAAGATGGAGAAGACTACACCTGAGAAAGATAGTGATTTGTCTGATATTGATCCAGTTCGGACACATGTACATGATCTGGATGCTGAAAATGATGTTCAGAATTATGAGCAACACGATGATGTTGTTGATCAGCAGTTTGGAGATGTTCCTATTGATGATGCTGAAGAGGAAAATGAGATGTCACAAGATGAGAATCTTGGTGATGCTCCTGATCCACCTCAAGTTCAACCTTGGAGGTCTAATAGGCAAAGGAAACCATCTACTAGGTATCCTTCTGATGATTATGTTACTTTGACATATGAAGGTGAACCAGAGTGTTATGTAGAGGCCATGGAGGCAGATGAAAAACATATGTGGCTGGATGCAATGCAAGATGAAATTAAGTCTTTACATGATAATCACACTTTTGACTTGGTGAAATTGCCAAAAGGCAAGAAGGCTTTGGAAAACAGATGGATTTACAGGGTGAAACAAGAGAGCAATTCTACATCTCTAAGGTATAAAGCCAGATTGGTGGTGAAAGGTTTCAGACAAAGAAAATGTGTTGATTTTAATGAGATTTTTTCTCCTGTGGTGAAGATGTCATCCATTAGAACTATGTTGAGTTTCGCTGCTACTCTTGATTTGGAGGTAGAGCAAATGGATGTCAAAACCGCTTTCCTTCATGGTGATTTGGAGGAGGAGATTTACATGAAGCAACCTGAAGGCTTTCAAGTTGAAGGCAAGGAAGACTATGTGTGTAGACTGAGAAAAAGCCTATATGGTTTGAAGCAGGCTCCGCGACAGTGGTTAGAATTTGTGCAATTAAAATACTGCCATGAATAGATTAGCTGATGTCACCTTGTGTTATTTTTAAAACTCTTTACTCTTATAATTATCTACCATTAGCTTCTTTGAGAGAGATTAGCGGTTATTTTTAATTTTATGATTGGATGAAATGATTATTCATACTTATCTTCTATGTGATATTTATTACTTACAAATTTTAGATTCTTATTTTATTATATGAATCTGGCATTTTATGGAATATTAAATTTTTAACTAATATGATAAATGTGCTATTGATAATATAATCAATGCCTATGTAATATTAAGGAAGATTAAAGTTGTCTTCAACTATTATTTTATATAATTTTATTATTTTTAGATAAAAATTAATTATTTATAATACCATGATTCTTATTATGATTTAAATATTAGTATTTGTTAATTTAATTATTATTATTATAGTAATTTATTTAACATTAATTATTACCATAAAAGACAAATATTTACTAAAAATAAAAATGTTATTAATAATAAAATTAATAACTAAATAAAAAAAGAATGGCATGTGTCTTATGGATGGGATATGAAATATGCCACTTTAAAAAAGTATTGATATGTCTTGTTATCCTTCTTTCAAAAAGTTGATAAGATTTGTTCATTTTTAAAAGAACTGATTTATTATCGGGAAGAAATTATTCATTTTAAAAAAATCAATAACATTTATTTGTTTAAAAATATATGTTGGAAAAAATAATAAATACCTTAAAAATATATGTCGGAAAGTACAAAGTAGAGTTTTAAATAGACTTAATCACAAGATCAAGTCCAAGATTCATAGTTTAGCTAAGTAAAGTTAAGAAGAAGAAAAAGAGGTTTTGTTACCTCAAAATCTCATGAGGTCTAATATTTTACATTGTGGGTCACTTGTACTTTTTGTTAAGAAAATGAATGAGTATGAAATTGTGAATGTATAGGCTTTAGAGAATTGAATGTTGAATGTGATGGTCAATAAGAATAAATATCATTTTCCTAATACAAAATATCTCTAGAGTGATGGAGAGAATTAGTGTTTTTTTAAGATTGAATTGAAATCAGATTACCATTGGGATATGATTAAGAATGAGAATAATATAGCGTAGACAATATTTAATAGTGGGTATTGTCAGTTTGTCACTATCAGTATTGTGTGGGGCATTTTGAGGTTGACTAATGTAAATGTTGTATCTATATATTCGTGTATAGGGATGTCAAAAATATTCAGATTCATAGGTGCTCATCAAAATACTCACAATGAGTATCCGTAAAATATAGCTTATGGATAAGAATGAGTATCATGATACCCACAAGTACATGCATATATATTTTAATTAAATATTTTATACTTAATTATTACTAATTTAACATTATATTTGTTTATTTTATTATTACTTCGTAATAAAATATAGTAATGAAACTATAATCATAAAATTATCGTATACATATCATATTACTTAAGTAATAATTATTTATATATTAATTATTGTAAAATATATAAAAATACAATTAAAATTGAATATTCATTTGGTACCTGCGGATACCCGCACCCGCTTGACCCCATTGTCATCCCTGTAATCATTAATAATGGATTTCATGAATGAGTGGGGATCAGCTCTCCCAAAATGATTACATCATCATATCTCAAGTCAATTTTCTTTCTTCAAACAATATAAAAATATTAATTTGTATTTTTATACTTTTTTTTTATTAGATAAAAACAGAAAATTAAGACATTAATAAGGACAGAACGTCTATTCTTCATGAATAGGATATATACACCCTTCTAAATAAGTTTATTATGTTATTTGAGTTTTTGGCATGAAGGAGGACCCACGAGCATAACGAATATTTCGCTTTAGTCATGTAGATCTTACGTTAAAGTGAATAGAAAAAATTGTATAGGGACATATATAACATGTTATATTTGGAGATAAATATATTTATATTTTTTGGTGCTATATAACATGTTATATTTGAAGATAAATGTATTTATATTTTTTGGTGCTATCTTTTATGATTATATTTTAATTAAAAATAAATTATTAATATGGTGCCAAGACTTTATTGGTTGTCTTTATATATGTATGTCTTCACATATGTAATGGTGGAAACAGGTCAGACCGCCTATCAGGGGCCTATTACCTTAGGCTTCTCCAAAAGCCTATTTAACTGAAATAAGTCTGACACAGGCCTTTTAAAAAATCTATTAAGTCTAACAGACCGGCTTATGTAATGTTATTATATATTTATAAATTATTTTTATATCATGTTCAAAAAACTAAATAAAAAATAATTATGTAAATCCACTAGGACTTACAGATTAAGATATTTAATAATTGGATATTTAATTGTTGAGACTTAAGCTTAAGTACATAACCTAACTCATGTTAAATATTAGAACAATATCATATTTTACTATGATATTAAAAGACACTGTTTTATATATTCTAACTTCAAAGACACCACAAATCCTTCGAATACATTACGCAACAATGGAAGATGATGGAAATAAGTGTGATAACAATGTAAAAAATTCACACTAATTGCTATAATTATAATTAATTTTTTAATTTTTTTAATTTTTTAAATTTTTTTTACCTTAGCATGCCTTTAAACATGCTAACAGGTCAGACCAGACTTTTAAACAGGTCAGGCCTAGACTTTGAATTTTTTTTTAAACAGACTAACAGGTCAGACCCATGTTCCTATATATTATATAGGTTCGACCTGTTTAAGCCAAAGTCGGGTCTAGCCTGACCTGTTTCCACCCCTACTCATAAGTGAAAGGATTGCATGGTAAGTGAGATGACTTTTTACGGCGTGTGATTTCTCATGCTTGACGCGATATTGTAGTATGCATCCTAAGATTTTTAACTACATTATGAGCTTTCTTGCTTTAACAAATTATCATGAGATCAATTTTGCAAATCTGAAGGGATAAAAGTTTATATGATCAACCATAAAAGTGTGAATTTGGTTTGGAGTAAGCTGCAAATTTATTGCACATGTGATTTCTCATAAAAGATCTATAGATCCAAATAATATTAATATGATTGCAGGGAGAACAACCTAAGATGGTTATCGAGATTAGAAACTCTCCTACTTTAAATGATTACTATGTGAAGTTTAATTTAGTCCTAACTCCTATATGTTCTTTTGACCTTTGATTTGGTTAATGAATAAAGGAGTTTCTTTTGTTTGGATTCAAGCGTGTACCGACACGTGTTTAGTATATACACTTATGAAGAGAGACAAGTCAACATTTAGGAAATTTAGGTCTCATGAAGAAAAATTGCTCTCCACATTAGATGGAATTTGCAACTCCAGTTTTTGCCTTTGAAAAACAATTTTGGAA